AGAGGAAAAGAACCTTCACAGGATGCTGCAGCAGCCAAAAGGTTTCTCCACAGGATGTCCGAGGGTCTCTTGTCGTTGTAGTAGATCACAGTGACAGGGGCACTGCCAGGTGTCTTCTGCTGCTGTCTTCAGCCAACCCAATTGCTGCTGCTGCTGTGAAGCCCAGAGCAGCTGATCTGGACGGTTTGTCCCGGGTTCGCTGACACTGAGGATGGCTGAGTCATGGCTGCCTGGACCAGGGAACCTGGAGAGGGAGACGAGAGAGAGAAGACAGGGGTCAGCCAGTGCCCCATGAGCACAGCTCTCCCTGGGCAGCAGGATGTGGATGGGGCCCCCCTGCCCAATTGCCACGGAATGACCCAGAGCCCAAGGCCAGAGCCCCCGGGTCCTGCAAGGAGACCTGGCAGCAGCAATAGCCCAGGGAATGCCAGAACCAGTGGAGATGGGACCTGCCCACAGCTACAGGCACATTTGAGGAGCAGAGCCCTGCCCAGCACAGAGCGTCTCAGCACAGAGCTAGCTCCAGCAGCAAGAGGAGGATGGGGTCTACAGCAGCAATAGGCAGTGGGACTGGGGACAAACCTACCTCATGCCTCTCTAGGAACAGGGGTGAGGAGACCCCGGTCCCACTGTCATCTCCTGTGCTCTGGAGCGTGAAAGTGAGGTTCTAGGAGAGGACAAGAAGCTCTCTCATCCCCACAACCAAGACTCTTTTGAGCTACAGAGAAGAAGGGCTGGAGACCTTACTTTGATTCCACGGTTTGTCTCTGCCCGTGGTGCCGAACACAGAACCAGAGAATCGAGAAGGAATGTCCAAGGGTCTCTTGGTATTATGATAGATCACAGTGACAGGGGCACTGCCAGGTGCCTTCTGCTGGTACCAACCAACATAACCACTGCTAACCCCGGAGCAGGTGACCTGGACGGTTTGTCCCAGGTTTGCTGACACCGAGAGCGGCTGAGTAATCGCTGCCTGGACCAGGGAACCTGGAGAAGGAGAGGAGAGAGGGGAGAAGATGAGGATCAACCAGCGCCCCACAAGCACAGCCCTCCCCAAGCAGCAGAAAAGGGAATGCCACAGCTGGAGGAGAAGGGATGCAACCACTGTCAGGGGAGAACTGGGAGAGCAGAGCCCAGCCCAGGGCATCTCAGCAGCTCTGAGGTAGCTCCAGCAGCAGCAGAAGGACATGGTCATCAGTAGCATGAGGCGGTGGGGTGAGGTAATAAGGCCACATTGTGAATTCTGTAGGAATAAGGACAATGCTCCCCAGGCATGGGGAAGAGCAAGAGAACCTGCAGTGCTCTGGGACATGAAAGGGAGGGCATTCACAGCCATGGTCATGCAGAGGGGACAGGCACCTGCCTCAGCCCCACAGCCAGCCAGGAGGGAGGAGGGTGGAAACTTCCTCTAATTTTGGAGTCTGTGTCTCACTTCCTACTGCTCAAAGTCACCTGACATAATTGCTGCTGCTGTCACTGCCACCACAGTAATAGACAGCCTCGTCACCAGCTTGGACCCCAGTGATGGTTAACGTGCCCGTGGTGCCGGACTTGGATCCGGAGAATCGTGAAGGGATGTCCGAGGGTCTCTTGCTGCTCTCATAGATCACAGTGACAGGGGCACTGCCAGGTGTCTTCTGCTGGTACCAGCCAACATAAGCACTGCTGCTGCTGCTACTAAGCCCAGAGCAGGTGATCTGGACCGTTTGTCCCAGGTTCGCTGACGCTGAGGACAGCTGCGTCAGCGCTGCCTGGACCAGGGAACCTGGAGAAGAAGAGGAGAGAGGGGAAAAGACGGGGTCAGTCAGCGCCTCACGAGCACAGCCCTGCCTGGGCAGTGGTAAAGGGACAGGAATCCTGTGCTTGAATTTCCTAATGGCACAAAGGGACCACATCCCCACACACTGAGCCCAAGGCCTGAGCCCTGAGGCCCTGTGAGGAGAGATGGCAGAACCAAGAGGACGTGACCACCAGCAGTACGAGGCAGTGGGGCAGGCAACAAGGCAATGCCATGCCTTCTGCTGGGACAGGCTCGAGGTGCCCACAGCCTCAGGGTCATCTCCTGTATTGCATGGTACAGTGAGGAGGACATTCATAGACAAGGATATGCAGAGAGGACACAAACCTGTCCCAGTCTCACAGCTCTGCTCTGCCATGAGGGAGAAGAGCAGAAAACCTAAATTTTTAACTCCTTTGTAGCTCACTTCCACGTCTCTCTGTCTCACTACAACAGCATCACTGCTGCTGTCCCAGCCACCACAGTAATAGACAGCCTCGTCCTCGGCTTGGACCCCAGTGATGGTTAACGTGCCCGTGGTGCCGGACTTGGATCCGGAGAATCGCGAAGGGATGTCCGAGGGTCTCTTGTCGCTCTCATAGATCACAGTAACAGGGGCACTGCCAGGTGTCTTCTGCTGGTACCAGCCAAAGCATAGCTGCTGCTAAGCCCGGAGCAGGTGATCTGGATGGTTTCTCCCAGGTTCTTTGACACTGAGGACGGCTGAGTCAGCGCTGCCTGGACCAGGGAACCTGGAGAGGGAGAGGAGAGAGGAGAGAAGACAAGGGTCAGCCAGTGACCCAGGAGCACAGCCCTGCCTGGGCAGCAGGACAGGGATCGGACCCCTTTGCCCAAAGGCCCTGGCTGGGTGCAGAAAATCTGTCCTGGATGGTTTCTCCCAGGTTCTTTGACACTGAGGACGGCTGAGTCAGCGCTGCCTGGACCAGGGAACCTGGAGAGGGAGAGGAGAGAGGAGAGAAGACAAGGGTCAGCCAGTGACCCAGGAGCACAGCCCTGCCTGGGCAGCAGGACAGGGATCGGACCCCTTTGCCCAAAGGCCCTGGCTGGGTGCAGAAAATCTGTCCAGGGCACCTGATCCGTG